AGATGCTTTACCTAACTTTGGCCACCTTAGGGATCTAATCTTAGCTGGTCACCTGGGCAGCTCCTGCAGCTGATCTGGGCTGCTCAGCCTCCTCCGGCGGGTGCCGCTGCTGGCAAACAAACACCCTCTCCCCCATACATGGGAATTCTGACCCTTTCACCTGGACTAGCTCTCTAATTTTTAGCCAGTCAAAATAGCAGGAAAGTCCTGTGACCCCAAGCAAGTTTCTGCAGGGAAAGTGCACTGGTGGTCACAGCTCATCAGGCTGCTACTGGCCTCGCACATAGAGGGAAACCAGGTCACAGTGATCCCTAAGCACCCCACTTGATACTAGAAAGCACCCCTTGAACCCTGCACTGTTTTACCGATGCATCCTTAACAGGAACTGGTCAGGATTAAGAGTTTTCTAGCGCCTGGAAGGATATGGGGACTGGATGTGGAACGCAGATGCTGCAGAGCAATGCAAGCCCTTCTGCCTTTGGTAAGTGGGGTCCAGTGCTGCTGGCACCTCACTGCAGGCAGCACAGGGCATTCATCCAGAGGGAAAAGTTATTCCCATAGGCCACCCATGCCACCATACCCAGCTTGGGTTCATGCCTGTATTTTTGGCCACAGGAACCTGCCACCATGCCCAGGAAGGGGTAGATTACACCCTGCACCCCTTCTTCTCCTCAGGAAAAGCTATCCAAACACAACAAGACTCCTGTGCCTCCCATTTCTGGCATTAGCTGGCAGAAATTGGGAAATCCCACTTCTCCAACAAACACTGGAAGACACAGCCTGGCAGAAGAATCCAGTCCATCCCTGGAGGTTTTCAAGATGATACTGGATGTGGCACTTAGTGCCATGGTCTAGTAATGACAGTAGGGTTGGACTTGATGATCTTTGAGGTCTCTTCCCACCCGGATGATTCTATGATTCTTTCCATAATCCTATTTACTTTTTCCTCCCTCCCTGCACTGTGTTTAACCAGATCCCATGGGAATTTACACACTTCCAGCTCCAGATTTTGTCTTAAATGGTCAAACCGTGTCCACTGTGATGTGCTATAGATCTGCCAGGTAACAGCCTCTGCCTTGTAGGGGCAGGACAGCTGTTCATAGGCATCTGAGCACACCAGGGCACTTCTGGTAATTAATGACAGTAATCAGATTTTGTTTCCATTTTCAAAGAGACTCAAAATCCCCAGCAGTGGGATTTGGTGTTGGTGATACTCAGATCCAAGTGCTTCAGTGCTTTTCGAATAGCAAGACAGGGAAATTGGCTGATGTTCAGCCATGCACATCAGAGCTTCCACCCTGAGCCCCTGCATGCAATGGAGTGTGGTCAGCCCGGCATGAAGCCACTCAGCCTGGCCATTCCTCGCAGCAGAGCAGGCTTGAACGATGCAAATAAACAGCAAAGGAGCATTACCTCTGGCTGCTGGGCTGATTGCCACTGTTAAAAAAGATATATGAGCTTGTTTTTAAGGATAAGCTCCTTATGTGAGCTGGGATGCTGATTCTCATGCAACCACAGGCTGTGAGTTTTCCCTGTACTTGAAGCTGGGATGTTTCTCACAGCCTCAACCTGGCTGCAATCAAGTGGATGGGGTACAGCCATTGCTTTAGGATGCTTTTGGGGCTCTGCTGGCCATCATGCCTGTCATCCCATACACATTTTGGTCATCTTCTCTCCCTGCCACTCTTCCCCTACACAAGCCCCCTGCTCCTGGGAGATAATGATGTGGAGACGACAGGGTGACCATATCATTCCAGTGCAGGCAAGACTGGGGCTGCCTGATTAAGGCCATGCCAGTTTGGAAGACGGCAACATCCAGCTCCCTAGGATGACTGGACTCTCCTACCCTGCTGGCAGCTGATCTGCAGCTGCAAAGCCTCAAGGAGGGGCAGCTCCACCACATGTCAGGCACCCACACATTTTGCCTGTGCTTATGTGACGCGTTTATCGAGATTAGCAGCCCTGGACAGAAAAGCAGAAAAAACAACACATCACCCCAACCCAAACACAAGATAACGAACTCTTCGGGGAAGGGGTGGGTGAGTAGTGTCTGAGCACTACGCAAACCAACAGTTTGCAGTTTACCCCTTGCTTGCCCTCTGCTTGCCCCCATGCCTCAGTTTTGGGGGAGTTAAGTATGACCACGCAGACTGTTGTTTCAGTGGCTGTCTTTTCTAGAAACCACACATGCAATCCCCAGCTCACAACACTGTGCCCTGAAACACACATTTTTTCTGTCCTTTCTTGGTCCCTACCCATCCCCATGGCACAACCAAGCCCAACAGCCTGAAAGCAGTTGCCATGAGCTGCTCTATCACCTCTTGCCTTCCTTCCATACCAGCCTCTGCTCTGCCAAATGCTTGCCACATCCCAAACTCAACAGCATAATCCATGCCCTGCTGGGAGGCAAGTGGGAAAGACTGAACCTTGGGCAGCACAGGGGTGGGAGGGCTTCTAGGCCAGAGGCAGGAGGCCAAGAACCATCAAGAACAAGCCCTGCCGCTGTATGGGTGCAGTGGGGAGCTGAGCTCATCACTTGGACTCTTGCATCATCCGCTGGGTTGCCCAAGAGCCTTGTGCACATGATTAAAGCCTGAAACCCAATTTTACCAGAATTTGTGACTTGCAAAGTGGTTTGCCTTACCTAGGGAAAGCAGTCTTCACAGCTGTGCCCATAGAAGAGCAGGCCTGTATTTGCCTGCACCCCCTGCCCCAGGGGATGCCAATACCACGGCAAGGTGATCACACCCTGAGTAAAAGAAGTGCTGCCCTAACTCCTCTCATTCTGGCTGCCACCAGGTCCTTACACACTGCTTCCATATCCACCTCTCACAATACTCCAGTCTCCTAGCCAATGCATCTGTCACCCCCATCCAAGGATCCTCCTTGATCCCTTTGTCTTCCCTTCTTCAGACACCACCTCCAGCCCTGGTATGAGCCCGCAATTAGGGGACTTCTGTAATTGCTAGAGCCTTTCTGCAGAGCAATGGCTCCTGTTTACATTGCGATGGGACTGAACAAGAAGTAGCCACCCCCAGGACCTCCACCCTGCCAAAAAACCAGTATGCTTCACCCAAAACCAGGAGGAGGAAAGTGTTTGAGATTCCTCTGATCGACCTTGGGATCTATATATACTATTTACTCTGCCAGTAATTTGCAGTGCAATACTGTATTTACTAATGCAGCCCAGGCTCAGCTCTTCCTCCATGAGGCCAAGGGTCCATGTGGGATTTTGGGATCAGTGTGGTGAAGCAGGTTATTTCCCCACCCAAACCCAAAGGTGGAGCAGGCAGCTGGATAATGGCACGGCAGGGCTCCTCTCGCTCTCTGGCCAGGGGCACTCCTGCTGCTTTCCCTCACCAGATCCTGAGGGAAGGAAGCAACCAGTCAGTATGCCCCACAATCTCAAAAAATTACACACCCTTACCATACTGGATTAGCTACATGGCAAGCCTTCCCTTCGAGGAACACATTTTTCTCAGCAAAACGGGAAGACTTTATTAAGTTAGAAGCTGAAAGGTGCAGCAGAGCAGCAGCAGCTGTCACCTTGGAGAGGTTGGCTCCGGCGGGTGCAGTAGCAGCCTCACAGCTCCTCTTCCCCAGAAAGGAGAAGCCCTGTGGCTCTGGGCTCCTGCCAGCTTGGGTTCTCGAAGGAGCCAAAAGGACAGTCACAGAGAGAGCTCGATCATGCGGACTCTTGCCAAGGTGTCCTGTTTCAAACGTCCCAGGCAAGCACATCCATGGCAGATTGCCCCGGTGGCTCCCTCCTATGGCTTGCATGTCTTCTCCACAGGTCCCTGGGGGTGGCACGGGGAGGGGGAGCATGGTCCTTGCCGCACATCCCAGGGGGACCACGGAGACATTTGGAAGAGAGGGAATATGTGCCAAAGGTGGCTGTGTGGACAGGAGCAACGGGGCTTGGGAGAGGGGAAAAAACAGGTTCTCTTTTCTCAGGTTAGAAAAATGCTGGTGATGGAGTAAAAGTTTTTCCCCTCCTCCTCCCCTTCTTCCCATGGGGGAAAAATTCCTCTATAAAACATAATTTTCACATATAAAATCCTGAAGAAGGTGCATGTAAGGAGCCAGTCCAAACAATGTGCTCAGGTATGCAGGCAAAAAGGGTTCATCAAAAAAAGCTTTGGGAGGGGAGTCAGGAGGTTGGGGGTGTGTGGGATTCCTTGCCAAGGTGATAACGGATGGGATTCAACCTCCCTCTCCCCACAAGAGAGGAATGGAGCAAATACAAAACAAGAACAGATAACAAACGAAGAGCAGACCTAGAGAGAGACAAAACCAGAAATGGTTTAGAGATTCCACCGAGCACAGACATGCCATCTCTCCTGCTCCCCTGGGAGATGGTTTTCTGGCGCCCCGCTACAGTCCCACTCATCTCAGCAGCCATCAGTAAGTGCTGTGGAGCAGGGTGGCCCCAATCCTGATGGCCACGGCATCCAAGCAAGAAGCAGAAGCACTCCAGACACCCTCGTTTCTGTCACCCTGCTTCCCTCCCCAGCTGTGGTCAGGGACACCTGCAGGTGAGTGTGGGAGGAGGGCTGGGACTAGTCAGGGCTGCTTTGATGCAGACCTAAAATTTCCACGCTGTGATAGGGAAACCACTTCAAAGGTGAACAGAGCAGAAATATTGTCTATGCAGGGAGAATAACTGTTCCCATGCTGTCACCCAAAGCCATAGGGTGAAGGCCAGCATTTGTCTGGCTTCCACACCCAGCCTAGTTAAGCGGTGCTTGGTGATGGCTGTATCAAGAGCAGCACAGTGAAAAGTGGGCTGGGACCCTTAGGAGAATGTCAGGGACAACAGGAGGGCCAGGAGTGCAGGCCAAGAGGATGCAAGAAGCATAGAAGGAACAGTTTACGCCTACAGTTTCAACACTGAGCGGAGCAGGAAGAACTGACAGCTTCTATCCCTTTGTCAAAGTGCAGCATCCAGTCTTAGCCACCTGCACCTGCAGGGGATGTCACAGCCTCCCCAGTGCTCACCGTTACTTGCTGACACTGTTGCACAGTGACTCCTTCTCCTGCAGAGCTGCCATGGCCAGGCGCAGGTGCTCCTTCAGCTGCTCGATCTCTCGCTGCGAGCGCACCTTAATGTGATTCAGCTCTGCATAGACATCTTGGTATTTCCCTGAGGCAAATCTCTTGTCCTGCCAGGGGAGAGACAGGGGTCAGCAGGTTTCAGGGATAATATTAGGGAGAGTGGCAGCAAGGTGAACCCAGTAGAAGACCCAGCAGGTGAGGTGAGGGAGACTCAGCACTGGGTTTGAAGCCCATTCCAATCCAGGCCACACAGAAACCATTCAGAGGATGAGCATGGAGACAGCACTACTCAAACCCTGAGCCAGGGAGGAAGACAGAGTTGCAGGTCCAGCCACAGCAAGGATCTGCAGCATCAGACTGAGAATGCAATCTGGGCTTTACCATGGTTTATGTGCATCTGGGGCAGCTAGATGGGAAAAATAAACCCCAGTAGGGATGCAGGCCATTGAGAGGGCCAGGCCCAGCTGCTTACATGACAAAAAACTTCTGTGATGAAGTATTACAATAAATGCCTGGACCATCACTGAATCTCAAAACCTCTCATGTTGCCCTTTGGCAGGGGTCTTTGAAAATCCCTCTGAAGGAACTGCTGCCAGTGGAGGGAGCAGCACACCCAGAAACGGTGCCCGAGGAAACACATTCACCAGAGGAGACAACTAGGGGAAGCACAGTGCCAGGCAGGCTTCCTCCAGGTTTCCCACTTGGAAAAGAAGGGCTCCTGGGCTTATATGTGCATACATTTGGGCAAACCAGCAGCAAAGTCTGTGATATTTCCCTAGCACAAACTAAGTCTATGCCAGCCCACACTGTTTGGAACAGCTATGTGCTCTGTCATGAGCTAGGATAAGAGAAGTGCATGTGACAAGAGGGTTTGCCAACAGGACCAGGGAAGTGATTCTTCCCCTGGACTCGGCGCTGGTGAGGCCACCCCTTGAATCCTATGTTCAGTTCTGGGCCCCTCAGTTCAGGAGGGATATTGAAGTGCTGGAGCAGGTCCAGAGAAGAGCAACAAGGCTGGTGAAACTCAAGCACAAGTGCCACGAGGAGAGGCTGAGGGAGCTGGGGTTGTTTAGCCTGGAGAAGAGGAGGCTCAGGGGAGACCTTATCACCCACTACAACTCCCTGAAAGGAGGCTGGAATCAGGTGGGGGTTGGTCTCTTCTCCCAGGCAACCAGCAGGACAAGAGGGCACAGACTCAAGCTCTGCCAGGGGAGCTTTAGGTTGGATATTATGAAGAAATTTTTTATGGAGTGATTAGCCATTGGAATGGGCTGCCCAGGGAGGTGGTGGATTCACCATGCCTGGAGGTTTTTATGACGAGACTGGATGTGGCACTTGGTGCAATGGTCTAGTAATGACGGTAGGACTGGACTTGATGATCTCTGAGGTCTTTTCCAACCCGTCTGATTCTATGATTCTGTGTCCTGGGCATCCCATCAAACCCAGCTGAATCCTGCTCACATGCTGCCCTGGTGCTCCCCTCCCATGCCTCTCCTGTTGCTTTCCCAATGGCTCCCAGAAAATACCAACCTTTTGCATCATCTGCAGCTCCTCCCGGAGGCACTGCACCTCTTTCTTTACATACTGGAGCTCGTTCTCCTTCACCCGCAGCAGCACCTGGGGCAGAGAGGGGGGAGAGGAACCAGAGGTGACTCAAGAGCCACCGCCTCAGAAAGGCCAGCAGGCCCTGGCGCAAGCGTGGCAGTGGAAAAGGAAGGAAGGCCAGAAGGGCTGTGGCAGGAAACGGTGTGAGCAGCCTGAGAGGTGGAGGCGAAGCCTGCGTTTCTGCTTCCTGCACCATCCCCATTGCTCCATCTGGCACCCCCTCCCACCTGCTCCAAGTCAAAACCATTGAGAGGAGAAGAACCCGGGCACAGGGTGGGGTTGGAGGCAGTGGGGCAGCCTGTGGGGACCCCCATACCTCCAGCTC